CCTTCCTGCTCCTGTGATGCTGCTTGGCCTGCTGTGTTCATCCAGCTGTACACCTTGTTATATCATTAGACGTGTTCAGTGTTCTGAAGAAGGTCACTGGACTCAAAACACTAATGCTGTTTTCTCTTCCAGTAATTTCTGTTTTTGCTTGCAGGATACATTCTGTTGGGCCAATGATGTATGTTATCTTCATTCATGGGATGCGAGTATTGTTATTATGCTAGTGCTTGTTGCTCATCTCTGATTGCCCTTGAGAAGTGCTGATAAATTGTCTTGTTAACAGCTGAGTATCTTTTCAAGATCATTTTGAATGGAATTTATGAAGCAACTACATTAATAAGGTTCTGAAGTCAGATATAGGTCGGGCTGTTAAATACAGCAGATTTTCTTCTAGAAAGGACATGTATGAATCAAATAGATTTGTATAATAATTCACTAGTTGTATGGTTATCTTTACTGATACTAGATCTTTATTCAAGATTTATCAAACTGGATGGATTTAGAGTTTCAATGGTTCCTTTGTTTTGACCTCCTAACACTGGATCATAATCCAGATCACTGGATTAATAGTCCAGTAACACAACTATTGTTGGACTATAATGTGAGTTTCTGTTGACTGCCTTGTAAATATTGTGATTACAAAGCTGCTACTATTGAAATTAGCATAATGGCATAACATTGCATTTGATAATGTGGTCTGGTTATTTAACAAGTAACAAAAATACTGATCAGCTTGGCCATACAAAATATAATAATGGTGGAAATGCAGTTGGTTTCATAAATCTTCAAGAGGCCCAGGTTCAAGTCCCAATGGCCCCAGAGGTGTGTAATACTATCTCTGAACTGATGGATAAGAAAAATATCTCAAAGTACATAACATTACTGAGATAATTGCACAAGGTCCAGATGGGCTTGGATATGAAACTATGCATATTTTGTTAGAAAAGTAAAATTCAAATAATACAATCCTTTTCAGATGAATAAGAATGAGTTTGGTTGTTTGGAAATTCACAGGTGTCTGCTGGATTTGCTGACAAGTTATGAAAAAGCTTGGATAATCACCTACACTCATAGTGAAAAGATTGCTGCTTTGGTGAAACAGGCTGGTGCAAGGTACGGCCTCTGTAGTAAAATAAGATTAACACTCCCCTGAATGAACAGAAACTGAAACCATTAAACATAACTATGTACAGAAGACAGCAGGAGAGAACAATTGATTTGGAGCTCTGCAAACCTAGGTACCAGTTTAAATTGTCAGTGTGTCATAGTTCCTTTGCCTGTGGTAAGTAACAATACCTAAATTAAACATACAGTTCCCTTTCCTTTACAGCAACTAGAAAAAAAAGTTAATCACAGTAAGTAACTTGGCCATATGTTAACAGTAAAGAACATCTATAATCTCCCCAAGCAATTAAATTGCAGCAGGCTCATAGGATAAATGGTGTGACCAGCTGCAGTGGTCATTCTTGAAGGGCAGGTATCCGTGCAGACTTGAACATAATCCAGGAGTGTTATTGAACAAATTCTACCTCTGATCTGATTCAGGTAATACAATAAATATTCAGTTTTTCAGGCTGCAAGAAAGGCATGCAAGTTAGCTCTGAGAACTGTTCCACCTAACCAACTGTAAGACTCAAGAAGTTAGGTCAACATAAGGGTACTGCTAATCTGATTAGTTAGGGATTCTTAGAGTTAATAAGAATGCTTTAACACAATAATTAATTAACTTTAATTGAAAGCATTGACTGCCACCCAGTGGCTGTTGAGAAATTATACACTTTTTACTTTGCACATAGAACAGAGCCTGTACCAACAAAACTGAAAACAAGAAGGGTGCGAGTCCACAAGCGCTTATTGTGTTTTTCATTCATTTTCTAATATTCTACAACATTTGTGGCAAGTTTTACTTAATGAAGCTCATTATTTTGTTTCTCCTCTATCAGTCAGCACTGACAACATGGCTCACCAACATTGTTTTATTACAGCTGTCTTTAAATCCGACTAGAAACTTACTGAAGGTAAGTCTTGGAATACATAAATGAAAACGCTAGAATATTGAAAAGATATGGCACCATCTGTGGAGAGAAGATTTTACAATCACTGTTGCCATAATGAAAGTAGAAGGTTTCATAAATGGACAAGAGAGCTGAATTCCAAGAGTGAGGTGAGAGTGACTTCCCTTGACATCAAGGCTGCATTCGACCAAGTGTGGCATCAAGGAGTCCTAGCAAAACTGGAATCAAGGGATGTCAGGGGATAAACTCTCAGATGGTTGGAGTCATACCTGACACATAGGAAGATGGTTGTGGTTGTTGGAGGTCAGTCATCTCAGCTCCAGGACATCTCTGCAGGAGTTCTTCAGGGTAGTGTCCTAGGTACTACCATCTTCATGGTCGCCAATGATTGTACAATGTTCAGCACCATTCACGACTCCCAGATACCGAAGCAGTCCGTGTTGAAATGCAACAAGATCTGGACAATATCCAGGCTTGGGCTGACAAGTTGCAAGTAACATTTGCGCCACTCAAATGCTAGGCTATGACCATCACCAATAAGAGACAATCTAACCACTGCCTCTTGACATTCAATGGTGTTATCATCACTGAATCCCCCACTATCAACATCCCTGGGGTTATCATTAACCAGAAACTCAACTGGACTCACCACATAAACACATGGCTACAAGAGCAGGTCAGAGGCTAAGGATACTGTGGCGAGTAATTCAATTCCTGATTCCCCAAAGCCTATCTACCATCTACAAGGCAAGTCAGGAGTGTGACAAATGAGTGCAGCTCCAACAACACTGAAGAAGCTTGACACCATTCAGGACAAAGCAGCCTGTTTGATGGCACTACATCCACAAGCATCCACACACTCCACCACCGATGGTCAGTAGCAGCAGTGTGTACTATCTACAAGATTCACTGCAGCAATTCATCAAAGATCCTCAGATAGCATCTTCCAAACACTTGACCATTTCCATCTGGAAGGGCAAGAGCAGCAGATACATGGGAACACCACCACCTTCAAGTACCCCTCCAAGCCGCTTACCATCCTGACTTGGAAACATGTCACTGTTCCTTCACTGTCACTGGATCAAAATCCTGGAATTCCCTCCTTAATGGCATTGTGGGCCAACCCACCGCAGGTGGACTGCAGTAGTTCAAGAAGGCAGCTCAGCATCACCTTCTCAAGGGCACCTAGGGATGGGCAATAAATGCTGGCCAGCCAGTGACGCCCACATCCCACAAATGAGTTTTAAAAAATGGTAGTGGGTTACCATTCCTCAACCGTTCTGTTCTCCTTATTATGGAGGTCAGGTAATGTTGCCATTGAATTATAGAATCCCTACAGTGCAGAAAGAGACCAGTCAGCCCATCACCTCTGCACCAACCCTCTGAAGAGCATCCTGGTCAGACCTGGACCCTGACCCTATTCCCACAATTCCCATGGCTAATCCACCTGGCCTGCACATCCTTGGACACTATTGGGTAATTTAGCATGGCCAATCCACCTAAACTGCCCACATTTGGACTGTGGGAGGAAACCGGAGCACCTGGAGGAAACCCATGCAGACATAAGGAGAGCATGCAAACTCCACACAGTCACCCAAATCTGAAATTGAACCCAGGTCCCTGGCAATGTGAGTGCAGTGCTAACCAATAAGCCACCGTGCTGTCGTTGGTTTTGCATTAGTTTTCTTTCAAGTATCCTGATGAATACAAGATGAAAGCTTCAACAAGTTGCTTTTTTTCAGCAAAACTCAAGCAATTTTCTTTTAAGAATTAGGAAAGGTTACATTTAGAGTGAACCGAATACCGAATGCTTTAAAATGTTTCTTTGTTCTGTGCCACTGAAGCTACTTTCAGCAGTCAGACGCAATGACTACAATCAGCCAAGTGCAAGAAACATGTCATACTTCTAAGCGGCCCTAAGCATATTTAGCTATTTGAGTGTTTTAAAATGGCACACAATGTAAGGATTGGACTTAAACAGGGATAAATACATTTTTGGATTTTTGCACATTTTCTCTTGAAGGTGTGGTGGATGGGAGGAGGAAAACAAGTGGAAATTAACTCTTTAATCTGACTTTGGTTTTTTTAAAATTAATTTATTATAAACCATTTAGCTGTTTCATTGCAATAGTAAGAGTTTGCTACATGTTTGGAAGTGATAATAATGTAACACTTCCACTGAGATGAAAATTAAACCTAAGTATGATCTGCCTGCCTAGATGGTTACAAGTTAACTAGTAGCACTTTTCAAACAACTTGAGTATGTTTACATGTGTCCGAGCCATTAATCCTTTCTTGACTAATATAATCAAAAACAAGTTATGTGGCTGTTCATTCTCCTGCTGCTTGTGAGATATTGGAATGTGCAAAATTAGTTATTTGATTTGTCTTTAGAACTGTGACTATATATCAAAAACACTGTACAACCTTATGCATGATCCAATTGTCCATTAAAATGCTTCAAGTGTAGATGCAGTTTTATTCTTTAAGCTATAGAATAGACCTATAGTGTAAGTTTCAAATTTGACTCTTATATACCACTGCCTCCCAAAGATATGTATTTCTTGCCAGATGCCAAATCTCTGAATATTTGCTGAAAGGTGACAATATTAATCCCCATTGCCATCTGTGAATAGTAAACATTTTATTCACTGATGCATTTACTTACTTTGGATAGTGAGTTCTGACATTGGATGCCGGTAAAGGTAATCTCTCAATGCATTGTTTACAGGAATCTTCTTCCCAGAAATGTTTGAAGAACACTTATCCAACATAATTGAACTCAGTAAGTAATTATCACATACTGATTTTATGTATTGAAAACAACACATGTTATCGCTTTGATTTTCTTTCTAGCTTACAACAGAATGGCAATATATACTACATTGGATGGAAGTCACTTGGAATTATGGGAATCATTGATGCAAGTGAATGCGTACCAACATTTGGAGCAGGTAAATGGAGTTCAATTTTATGCGAACGTCACTTAGAAAAGTAACAACTTAATTGCAAGATCTAGCTGTACAATTTAAAGTATTATCCTTCTCTATCAGATGTCCTTTCGGGCATAGCAAAAACATGTATTAGTGGAAAGGGATTTTATCTGGTTTCTCTGTTCAAGTAAAGACATAAGCAATGCACATTACAGTAAAAGTTATGGTTCATCAGAGTTGGAGTGGAAAGCTCATACATGAAGTTCAATATAGGTTTTCTAAGTGCTTTGCATAATCAACCCAATAAAATGGCAGTTAGGAAATCTTAAAATGGATAGGATTGACCTAAAACTCAATTACAATAGTGACAGTGAGATTTGTAGTAGAGGAGTCACTACCTGATTTATAATCCAATCCAAAACAGTTTTTTTTACTATTTCTGAAAGAGACATATTTTGTCAAAGCTTTTCATATTTTACACATCAAGACAAATGCAAGAATGCCAAATTTCAAATAACCACAGCAATTTATGCTTCAGAAATACATGTAAAACAATGGATTGATGTAATCATTAGGGTGCTGATTGGTTGGCAAACAACATGGAACTCTGACCATGCCGTTGTCATCGAGGAAGTAGTGCGGAAATAAGATTACCGTGCTTCTGCCAACTTCAAAAAAATGACTGAGATTTGACAGTTGTTTGTTCCCAGATAAACTCTCCATCAGTGACATAGTTCTTGTAGTGGTTGTGAAAGAGTCAGTGCGAAATTATAATGTACCTGGTCGTTTTGAAACAACTTCTTGTGAGATGAGTCACAGCAGGCTGGAACAGTATGTCAGTGTGTGGTATAGGTGACAGATGGCCTATTCGGTCATGCCTTCAGCTCATGGATCCAGCAAAACATTCAACAGAGAGATGCTATCAAATATTCAGTAGCTTTATTTGCATAAGTAACTCTAGGAAAGGTGGTATTATATTAATCAAATTTTTGGATTTAAAAACAGAGGTAAATGGATATGGATTAGTCTGTGAACATCTTTTTAAGCAGTTAATAAACAAATTCATAATGAGATCAGAACAGTTAGGTGCTTGTTTCCGACTGGTGCAGACTCAATGGACCAAAGGGCCTTTTTCTAAGCTGTAGACCTCTGTGACTATACGACATATGGGCAGTGAGCTAAGTGCATCATTTCCAAGAAAGCATGATATTACAGTCAATGTCTGGGAGAAATGTTCATGGGTAAAATTTTAAACTGTTGGGTCTGTGACAGGCAGAATATGTACGTTAAGACAGCTGGTTTAGTTTTGATTTCAGCACAGAAGGCTCAAACCTTTCATTTAGAAAAACACAGAGCTCAGTTCAGATGATAGAACTGTTTCTAGCTTGTGGAACATAAAAGCCAAGAAAAAATTTGAATCTTCAAGTTGTTAGAACTGAGAATGTTTAGGCCACCTGAATTATGAATGGTTGATGTCTGCATGCTTGAATGAATATGTTTCAGTGAAGTAACACCAGATTAGTCTACTGCAAAAAATAAACATATGATCTATCAAGCCAGGTTTCATTCCGGGATCTGACTTGTCCAGTAGTACCATCAAATGGGATTATAAAACGATGAATGAATACAAAAAATCTCAATACAATATTGTTGATATCTCTACAGAACCTATTTCTTGCATGTTATCATTTACATATTCACTATGTGCTAGGTAAAGTCTAGAAGATCTCTCCGAAACTCATTTTGGAAGTCATACGGTTAGTGCAGTGACATTCTTGCTACCATCAAAATAGTACCTTCTGTGACTATCCTCTACAATCTACTAATGCTGGACATGGGCTCTTTTGGTCCTGGAGAAAACATGACAAAAAGTTCCACTGAGTCCCAAAACTCTGTGCTAAGATCCTCAAGCTTTCCATGGAAGTTAATGTTGCCATTCTAAAATCTGCAATGTCCCTAAGTACCTTCTCTTAATGAGATGATGCTGTAAGTACCTCCTGGGCTGTCACACTCTCCAAAGTGCTCTTCATGTCAAGACAAATCTACTTGTGGTGATGTTCATGTGGTTCTTTGATCCTCCACTTCACATACCCTCTGTTGCACAAGAGAAGACTGTGTCTATTACTTGCCCAAGAGATTTATTGTGCACGATAATAGACCTTTGTAAAGACTGTGAGCAGCCCCTTTGGATAGATAACTGCTTCAACATTGTTCTATAAAATAAGTTGAATCACATTTATCTGCTATATGCCTTATCCCTTTTTGGTCATCAACTGCCTAATCTAATGCTGAATAACGATAATGTTTCTGCCTTAACCTCTAACACTGGAAATGAACTTCACAAATCACATGAGTGTCAAATGTGTTAGTCACCAAAGGACATAGATTTAAGGTGAGTGGCAAAAAACCTAGGACTTAGGAGCTTCTTTGGATATAGCTTGTTGTTTTGATCTGGAAAACACTACTTGAAAGGATTTTAGAAGTGAATTGAATTTTAACCTTCAATAGGCTTATGGGAAAAGAGGAGAGTGGGACTAATTGTCAGCTCTCTCAAAGAGCCAGCACATAGAGAATGGTCTGAATGACCATTTCCTCTGTTATCTCATTTAATGTATTAGAAAATAAAATGTCATTGTTCACAGGTAAATGACTGCAAAACCTTTTTTAATGCATAATTCTGGCTGTCATATTCAATTTTATTGCAGATTTCAGTCACATACGTGGTTTTGTAGACATTAGTTTTAAAGACTTGGCAAACAATGATGGAGATATGTCAACACTGGTAGGTCTCTGAATTTTACTGATCATATTTCAAATTGTGAAGTCAATGGGGCCTGTTTTAATTTAGCCAAAGAGATGTTTATGCAGTAGGAACAGACAAAACATGGGCCAGCAGACATACTGCCCCATTATTATCAACACTCCAATCACAAGCCTTTTTAAAGGAATCCAGTAGTAAATTCTTTTAATATGCAAATTACCATCCTAAGTTGTAACTAAGATCTGAATTGGCATTTTAAGGCACAACTGTAACCATGGTGGTATGCTGTGCATTGTCCAACTAGATTTGCTAGTGCAATAGCAATGTAATAAGCCAGCAAGTTAAATTTTAATTGATGTTTGTAGGAATAGAAGTCAATTATTGGAATCCCTGCCTTCCTACAATTTATTTCGCTGAAAGCCAGGTGTTCTCATTCCCCCAGTATTGTATCTATCTGAATCTGGTACCATGTCAGTATGACTGTTTGCAGCACTAGTTGCTCACTGGAAAGCTAATTCAATCACAATCAATTTGCAACTTTTTTTTGTATTCACTTGTGGAATGGCTGGCCAACATTTATTGTCCATCCATAGTTGCCCTTGAGAAGTTGATGGTGAGCTTCTTAAACCGCTGCAGTACATGTTCTGTAGGTACACCCGTAATGCCAATTAGGGAGGGAATTATTTACAGCATTTTATCTTGATTACAGTGATTTTAAAAGCTGCAATTAAAATTTAGCCTGTTGGAGAATTATATCCATAATTACTAATAGATCATTGCTGTATTATAATATGATGAATACAAATGTACATCTAACAATATAAGCAAAATTGTTGTAATATCTGAAATATAGATAAATGTTAAAAATGTTTTTAAAAATGCATTTTCAAGATCACAGAGTGTCTTACAATGATTTACATGCTATGACTAATCCTGAAGTGCAGTTACATCAAAGAAAACTGCAATGTGATTATGTACTCAATTATTAGATGTTTACTGACATAGTTAGTGGGATAAATGTTGTCTAGGATACTGGGAGAATTCCTTGCTTATTTTTGAACACTGCTGTAGATTTCTAGTATTTCATTCCAATGACAGCAGCTTTGAAAGTGGAACGTTCTATACCTGTTCTACTTGTATATCAACCTGGAGTTTCTAAGCATCTGGAATTGGACATAGAACATAAGAACTGAGAGCAGGAGTAAGCAATTCACCCTCTCAAGCCTGCTGCACCATTTGATATGATGATGGTTGATCTCATCTCGGCCTCAACTCCACTGTCCTGCTCGGTTTCCATTAAACTTTATTTATTTCCTCCTTAAATTTATTCCATGTCCCAGCATCCATCACACATAGAGGTAGTGAATTCCACGGATTCATGACCTTTTGGTACACCCTTTGAAAGGGTTCCCAGCACTCCAACTTTCATCATGAATCCACCAAAATGTATGATTGATTGACTGAGCATAGCTGCTGACATCTCAGAAGAAACAATTGTGTGTACATGGTTCAGACACTGCCTTGGCAGTTGCAGATTGTAACAGAATTAAAGTGTTTGAGACTGGCACAATTTTCCAGCACCATTAGAAGATCTCCCAGCAAAACCAGCAGGTTTCCTCACTGACCTCCTGAGGAGTGTCCCTCACAATCAACATCACAGTGTTACTACAGTATTTATCTGGCTTGCTTAGTTCAGTTTCTGGTTAATTATAACCCTCAAGATATTGATCATGGAGGATTCAATCATGATAGTACCATTTAATGCCAGGGGGGATTGTTTAGATTCTCCCTAGTTGGAGACTGTCATTGTCTGGCAATTGTTTAGTGCATATTTTACTTGTCATTTATCAGCCCAAGCCTGGACATTCTCAGGTCTTGCTCTAAATGGACAGATTGTTTCAGTATGAGAAATTGACAATGGTGAGGAACATTGCACAATTATTATTAATGACTCCATCTCTGACCTTCTGTTGGAAGGGAAGGTACATATGGAGCAAAAAAAGATGGTTGGGTCTAGGAATCCACCTATGGATCTATCTCTGAACCAAGAAGCCTGTGTTCAAGCCCCATATGCCTCAGAGGTGTGTAATAACATCTCTGAACAGGTCGGGAAAATATCCACCCTGATGATATTCCACATTTATATCCTCAGACCAAGACAATGAAGCTCCAAGAACCATATCAATCTGAATTTTGACTAGGTAGGTGTGGTGAGGCAACCAAGTGCTCCAAGTTGGACATTCTGAATTGAGCCAGAGGATAGAAAATTGACTAATCTAAATTATAAGCAGCTAGCTAGTATCAGCTACAGAGAACAGTGGAAAACAAGATCAAAGTTTTCACAAAGTTTCAGGCAGAGCCATTTACAACCAGCTCAAGGGTTGTGTATTGGAGAAATATCGACCAGTCTTTCTAACACCTTGACTTCCAGCCAGCGCCTGAGGATGAGCGCTTTACGCTTTCTGGCATGGCAACAGTGAAGGGTGTTGGTGTGAACACATTGAATGCTTTGAATCCAGCTCCTGACCCATTGGCTGAAGATCACAGACTATTCTGGAAGGTCCAGGGCAATTGGGGAGATAAAAACACACACCTCAAAGCCATGCCTCAGTGAAGACTCACAGCAAGTCTTGTTGTGGAAGACATTACAAGCAACCCAAGAAGACACAGGAGAAGATCTGCCCTGACCTGTGAAACCCAACTTCGTGGAAGAGAGCTAGCCCTATGTTTAAGAGGAAGGAATTCCAATGGCCCAGCACAAACATGTAGATTGTTGCAGGTAATATCCTTTCTCAGATGCATAGAACTAGATAAAGGGTAAATATTGAAGGAATTTGGGAAGTGCTCACACTATATTTTTAATAAGCAATATTTTGTTAATAAAATCAAGTTGAACCGCAAACCAAAATCTGTGTCCCTTTGGTCACCTCGCCAACAAGAGTGCTTGTGTAAAGTGTTTTTAAACCATAAACTGGTTGAAGTGTCCAAGCACAGAAAACCAGCATGACTACAACCAGTGAAGAAATTTCCCCTGATTCATGTTGATCTATGTTTTGATAGGGCTCTCTAATGACATATTCAGTCAAATTTTGCCTTGATATCACTGTCACCTCATTTCTTGAGTTCAGCTCTTTGGTCCATGTTTGGTCCAAGGTTACAATGAAGTCAGGAGCTCAGAGGTCTTAACTGGACCCAAACTGAATGGATTATCACTGAGTAAGCGTCACTTAGCAGCACTCATGCTACTGATGATTGAGAGTGGACTGAGGGGATGATATTTGGTTGGGATTTACATGTCCTCTTTTATGTGGAAGAACATACCTGTGGATGTCCATGTTGGGGCTGAATGGGACAGCTTGCCTATGGAGTATAGCTAGGCCTGAAGTACTGTCTTCTGTATGACAGCCAGGAATTACAAAAATGCAGATCTTTTAATAAATAATGGAGAAAAAGACAATTGAATCATCCTGGATTATGGTGGTCTTTTTGAACTCCACGTGACCTTACTCCCATTCTATCCAACTCATATCAGCCTTTAATAGAACTTCCTGCTCGTTTAATTATCTGTAATTTTTCCTTCCATATTTCAAGTTGTATGTTAATTAAATTCATATTTTTGATTAATTCTTATTTTTGAGATAAATCAATCATTTTGATTTTTAATAAAGAAACATGGTGGATGGATCTTTGTATTTTAAATCTAATACAGATAAAGTATATGTTTGTCCATGCTGGTAACTAGATAAAGTGTTTAAGCTTATATTGTGGCCAGTGAATGGTATGATTAGAGAGGCTGCATTCCTCTAGCTTCGTGTGTAACAATCTCCATCCTTGATCTCTTTCCAGATCAGTCCAAGCATGGCTGTATTTTTTATTCGTACCAAAGAATCTTATTGCAGGTTTTATGTAACTGCATGACTTTCTGGGATATTTAAGTGGGTCAAAGAAACAATCCACAAATTTCTGAGGGTCTGAAGTCACATGTTGACCAGACCAGCAAAGAATACCTGATCTCCTTTTCTAAAGGACATGAAAGAAAAAGAATCCAACCCAGGCATTTCACAGACACCATTACTGAAATGTGTTTTTTTTTCATTTCACATTTATCTGATTAATTAGCTGATCTGAAATTCCCTAGCTGCCGCAGACACATTTGCACACATTTCTTTGAATCATTAGTTCAGCTCCCTGTATTGCTACTTCATAATATTGCCATTATGGTACTTTATTTATATCAACCTATCAAAAGGCCAATTTCCTCATAACACTCTGTAAATTTACAAGTGAGACTTTTATGGATATTAAGGTATTTTGCTTTATCTGAATTGTTCACAATTTCTAATCAAATGTGTTAACTGCTTTTTGTTTTTAAAAAAGGGACCAGAATTTTCCATCTCACATGACGATTTTAGAAAGAATATTCTTCCCACAATCCACAAGAATGATACTATTGTCTTCATCTTTACTTTAGATGGTATGTAATAAAATTCTTCACAATAAAAATTATTGATTTATTTCTTAACATGGTTATGAAAAGTCTCATGCACTTTTAAGATTCTTTTTTCTTTGTTCTTTTGGCAAAGATGAAGTTTCAGAGATTGAAAAATTTGCACATCAGGTTAAGATGTCAACATCTAATTTGTTTGCAATTTCGCATGGAAGGCCAAAGCAATGCATGACAGTAAGTAATCACTCATTACTAATTTATAAGAACCATAGCGCTTTGTCAATGCATGGAATAGTTAAATAATGTCACTTTACTTTGGCAAAATAATGGTGTTCCAAATATTTGTAATTTTGTAAGTCATCATTAAGACCTGTCTCTAAATCTATTATATTCTGATTGCGATTATCCAGATCGGTACCCTCTACTACTGCATTGCCCTTTCTCCTAAACTTTCCAAATCTCCTCCTCCTCCACAATTTAGTATTAAGCCCTCACTATGCTCTAGTTGTACAACTCACCAGGACACTGGTTCCAGTGCTGGTCAGGTGAAGACTGTCCCAGTGTACAGCTCCTTCTTCCCCATGTGCCATGGTGCAATGTTCCATGAATTGAAAACCATTTCTCCCATGCTACACATTCAATTCTCCAATTTTCTTATTTGATCATGGCTCAGATTGTATTTCATTTCATTTCATCCCGAGCTATTCATATTCGTTCAGCAGAACATCATTATTACTTCTGCATCTGTTTTTGGTGAACTCATGTACCATGAAAACTGGGTCCTCCTTCCCTTCCAAGTTCCTATCTTTCCTGAAAGGTATGTTCTTAAGCTGGTCACTAAGCGAGCAACACAACATTCAGCACTCTCCCTCTTGCCTGCAAAGAACCCCATACATTTCCCCATTAAAATACAGTTTCCTCCAACAACTGTCCCACTTGAATATCTGGCTTCACTATAGCGCCATGATCAGTCTGCTCATTCACATTGTAAATCCTGCTCTTGTGCACACAAGCTACAGAAATATTGAATCTCTTAAACAATCTATTGAACAACAGGGGCTGAAGCTCCTCTGTTGTGACTTTCTCAGTCCATGTGCCTGCCCCATTCACAGCCATCCCCCTTGTCCCTAACAACAAGTCAGAAGATGCCATATTAAGTATTGTGTCTGTTTCATGGAAAAAAGTGTCCAGATAACTTTTACCCTCCCTGATCCATTACAGTGCATTAAGCTCAGATTCTTGCTCATCAACTCTGAGCCCAAGTTCCTCAAGCTTCAGACAATCACTGCAGATGTTGTTGCCATGGATCACTGAGGTGCCTACCAATTCCCACATGAACATACGACTTAGGAGCAGGAGTAGACCCACAGACCGTTAAACCTGCTCCATCATTCAATAAGTTTATTTCAGATCTGATTAATCCAAAGTCATGACTATCCCTGGTAAATTTTTGTCCCCTACTTATGAAGAATCTATCTACCACTGCCTAAAAAATATTTAAAGACTCTGCTCCCAAAGCTTTTTGAAGAAGAGGGTCCTATAGACTCATGGCTTTTGATGAGTTAATTCTCCTCCGCTCTATCTTAAATGGCAACCTCTTATTTCTAAACCCTGACTCTTAGTTACAGATTCTCCCACAAGAGGATAATTAAAAGTCACACTTAAATTGTGCATTGATTCAGAGGGATCAGCATGTCAAGGCCCCTCAGGACGTGCAGCTGTAACACATCATCTAATGTGCAATCTTTATTGTGCCTCATTTGACTAATTAGTTTTTATGTCTTCAGTGCCATCTTTTAACTCAATTACATAATGTGTAGACTCATTGAGCTGCACTTGGAGCATCCTTTCAAACTACTCGCGCCCTCAAAAAAATTTAGGAATTCCAAAAAGTATGTGATCGTGTTTCTCTGTCCTTAGTTTGGGATACAAGTGCAATATGTAATGATTTGCCTCCTTGTTTGTGGGAGTCATGTGACATCTAACATGAGGCATTGACTGGGGGCTGCCATGTTGCAGCAAGTTTCAACAAAGTCATGGTAGAGCTTTAGCTTGAGAACTCTTGAAAGCTTGAAACATGGTGTCAGATTTAGAGCTGAGATTGACTGTTGAAGAGCTATAAAAAAGCACAGATACTAAAAATGAACATAGGAAAGCTCAATAAAAACCGAAAGAACTGCAGATGCTGTAAATCAGGAACAAAAACAAAGTTGCTGGAGAAACTCAACAGGTCTGGCAGCATCTGTGAGGGAAAAAACAAAGTTAACATTTCCGGTCCAGTGACCCTTCCTCAGAACGGTTCTATCTACCACTGCCTAACACTGCCTAATCTACATACTGCTACAATCAAATTTTGGAAGCCCTGAAGGAACACTTTGAACCAACATTCCCTCTAAGTTACACACATGATGACCAGCGATTGTAGCATTGACTTCTACTTCTGGAAGTCACTGCCGTACATGAGCCTCAGAGGCCTTCATAGCCAGAAAGAAAATTAACAAAATCGTAAATGTCCAGTTTTAGAGCCCAAAGTGAAAAATTGTCTGTCGATCAACATATGACTTCATAACTCATCTCACAGAATCCTGTGAATTTAACCAACTAAAAGATGATGTCATTAACAATGGAGTTACACCACAATAATATCACATCCACTGAGAGATGAGAAACTTACTCTTAGAAAAGCAATCAACATGTGCAGAAATGCGGACGTAAATTTGCAGCTACAGCATGTTCATGGTAAAATCAACCAGGCCTTGCATCATATTCATAGATACTCCAAACCCAAAACTGTAGAACAATCATGGACGAAGGGCAGGATGCAAATACTGCTGAAGACACCATAGAAAGGAGAAGATATATCCATTATGGGATAAGCAATGTTCTCATCCAAAGAAGCTGAATCATTTTGCACACATCTGGACATGGCGTACAAGTAATGGAAATTGACATACATCATAGACGTGTCATGAGCAGCACTCAAAATGAGGAAAATAAAGGATGCTATGATAGAGCATGAAAGCTTCCAGATCCAATTCATTGACTGAGCAGAGATGTTGAATCTAACAGATTGGGACCTTGTTCAGATCAAACGAACCCCTGAATAAGATGCAAACTTAAAAGCGTTGCAGAAAATACTGATAAATGGATGGCCTAAAAGTATCCAGGACACATCTTTTGTTGTAAGTGTATGTTGAGCAAAAGGAAATTAGTTGACAGCTCAAGATGGTATATTGTCCAAAGGAAATAGTGCAATTGTTCTTGAGGAGTTGAGAGGAGAGATGCTACAGTGTATCTATGTAAGTCACCAAGGAATTGAGCCAAGTCTAACAAAAGCAAGCAAAATGATCTACTGTTCAAAAATGAGCAATGCAATCAAGGGCCTTATTGGCCTGTGCAGTGTTTATAATAAACACCAAGCTAAACAACCTAGAGAGCAGCTGATGACACTTGACATTCCAGATAGATCATGGCTGAAACTGGAATAAACTTGTTCACTTTCTTGTCACCTTGAAGTACTATTTTGCTAGGGGGAATTGGATCAAATGACTTCAACAACCAGTACTGAGATTGTCAAATGCCGAAAGTGCATTTTACCCATTTCAGCAATCCTGACATTGTGATAAACATCAATGGCTCCCCATTCATAAGTGAAATATTCAACCATTTCATGAATGATTGGGAAATTCAACACTGTATGTCAAATACACCATATCCTCAATCAAATGGAAAGGCTGAGGCAGCAGTGAAAAACACCAAAGGAAGTAAAAAGAAATCAAGCCAATCCACACACATGGATACAAGATGATCCTAGAGTAGAGAAACTTACTGAAGGCAAGACAAGTAGTCCAGCACAAAGGCTAATTTCACTCTACATGCATACTACTCCTCTAATCACCAAATAGCTACTGAAGGTATGTGTGAAAGAATCAAGACAACCCTATCACAGAAAGCTGAATTTCATCTTGAGAAGAATGCAAAACAATCACAAAAAATGCAAACTGAACAGCAAGTCAGGGTATGAACCTTCAACAAAGACCCAGCACAAGTGACAACTTGGGAGTTTCACAGGACAATTGCAACCTTGATCATACATGATGCAAATGAATGACCAGATAGGCCATCACAATTGCAGTAACCTGTGCACCTAGAGAAACTATTCCTCAACTGCAGGCAACTGATTTAAGAAGGTGTGGAGTCATCACGTGTACAGTATACAGATCAACTATCAGATCCAGAGGTCCACAGCACAGGTATCATAGCAATTAAAAATGACATACACAGGGAAGAAACTTCATCCAGATGGCAGCCAATGGCATCATGTACCATTAAAAGACTGGCTCAACTTAAGTATTACATATGTAAGGAAATGAGGATAACTAACTGCTGTTATGTGAGAACAGTTATGTGTATATTCAGTAATTTGAGTAATTCCCTGAAGGTGTTAATCCTTATATTTTTCCTGTGTGTGTGTTTTGTAGGCAACAGGAAATATTTGGGACAGAAGCTAATTTGTGCCAATGTCTTTTGGCTTGCTGTAGTCATGTGATCTCTTTTATGAGGCACTGAGTGAGAGCTGCTATCTTGCAGTTCATTTCAATAAAGTCACACTACAAGCCAGACTGTTGATTGAGAGCTTGAAATACCCTTAGTTTCTTATTGTCAAAAGAAATCCGTCATAGCTTCATTACTATCTTTCTGCTGTGTTCTGCACTGAAAAAAGACACTCAATGTGGTCTCATTGCAAGCAGCCGTTATTGAACTAATTTTATTCATGCTTTTCTAACAAAAACAGAGAGCATCTATAATATATTACAACTTGACCACAAATTTATCCTTTTGAGGTTTTTAAAAGGAAGAGGATGAGGCAGAGAGATGGTAGAATTTTGAACAGGGTACAACAGACAGTGAGATCAATTTTTCTTTCAGTTGTGAAAACAGGATGGGAAAATAAAGAAATGTGAATAAGAATGAAAATTAAATGATGTAGAAATGAGTTCAGAGATTTCAAAGATGGAGGCAATTTGGAGAGATCTTCTTATAACAATAGGACTGTGCCTTTGTGGAAATTTGTAAATCAACCACAAAAGCCTTGATTGATTCTATTTCTATATAATTGTTCAAGTGGATGGCGTCTCCTTTTGCTACCTGAAAAACTGTACTTGTTTCAGTTTTGGATTGCTATAAAGGCTCACTTTAATAGCTGTCATGATGAAGATACTTGCATCTAGCCAGTATTGCACATTTGTTTTACCCATAGCCAAGGCAAAAAATTCCAGTGGACATACTTTCATCTTAAAATGACAGGGCATTGAATTCAGCAAGGTCCTTCCAAACACTTGCTGTAACTTTGACGAGAGATCAGTAGAACTCCCAGAGAAATAATATAGACTGTTTCTTCTGTTACTAGAACTAAGGACAGGAGAAGAAATGTAGGTCAAGTTTGAATATTAACGGCAGTTGGACAATCTGGAATTTTGTTTTAGTCACGTTGAAGAACTGCGGAGTAATTATGCTGAACTTGCCCTCAGAAGTTTAGACACTTAGGTTAAGTACTAAATTATTAAGTACTGCTAGGTTATAGACAATTTTACAGAGTGGGCCAAATGATCATTTCTTGTTTTAAAGTTTTCCCCTTTTCTATTAATTACCAGAAACAGCTAAAGAAAGTGTTTTCTGTTATAATCAGTGTCATGTGGCCAGCAACGTTGCCCAATTATGAAGGATGCTACATTCAGGTAATGCCTTTTTGTCACTATCTGATCATTTTTTGACCATCATGTATATTACTTACATAAAAAAGTATGAAATCGTCAATAAAAACAATGTTGTTCTTCACAGATGTTTCAGCATGAACTGAGTACAAAATGGATACTGAACGCAATTAGTACAGGTGCACATGTTTTGAAAGGGAAAGTCTATTACAATTTTATGATTGACCTCAAAGTCAGTAACTCGAAATTATTTGATCGGGCTTTATACATCCTCCAGGTAGGTTGAAAAATAAATGAAGTTTGATTTCAAAATCATTCCAAAATTTAAAGTTAACCATTCACAAGTATGAATTGTATCTGAATTATTGCAGTAAAATCACATAAACATGTAAATTAGAAGTAGGAGTCGGCCACTCTGCCCGAGCAGATTGCTCTACCATTAAGTTCATGCCTGATCTGGTTACTTCATATTCTCATCCACCCCTAATAACCTTTCATCCCCTTACTTACAAGAATGAAGCATTGTAATTTTAAGTAAACTCCACGTCCAAAAATAATACAGATAATGGAAACTATATAATCCCATGTTTACTTGTCAGGTCAGCATATTCTCTATGTTGTGTTCTATAACTATTTGCAGGCTACCCACCTTTCACTGATTAAATCTTCTAATTTATTCTCTGAATATAGATCAATTCAGACAATAATCATAATACAAAATTGGAAAGCTATGTTCTTTGTACATTCACCAAAAAGTCATTGACTGACCAATCCCCTCCCTAACTCCCCACCTACACTCACTATTACTGGCCCCATCCCCACCTCTTCGACCTGTTTGTTTCCTCTCCACCTACCCTCTCTTCTATCCATCTTCTATCTGCCTCCCACTCTCTCCCTATTTATTTCAGAACCTCCCCCCTTCCCCTCCCCCTTTTCTGATGAAGGGTCTAGGCCCGAAACGTCAGCCTCTCTGCTCCTATGATGCTGCTTGTCCTGCTGTGTTCATCCAGCCCTGCACCTTGTTGTCTCGGATTCACCAGCATCTGCAGTTCCTACTATCTCTCATTAATCTATGGCTGGTTATACTACAGAAATGGTCAACTCTAATTAGCCTTGCCAATTGTTTTCAATTAACATTAAAGTTAGAAGCCAAGATCTCCTATAGCTTGGGCCTGTTTAACGTGGCACTCAGTTGTCCAATTGATTTGAGTTGAAGCTTGCAACTTTTGGTTAACATCCCAATATCAACATAATTGTAGATACTCCCAAAAAGCTATTGAAATGACAGTCAGTAAGATTACATTTTATTAATGAGAACCTAGCTGAAGAACCTGGATATCATCAAACCTGCTAATAGGAAAGAATGAGCAACGAAAATGCGCTAATTTTATTTCCACCAGGAGCACCTTACAATTTTAAATCTTTAATTCAACTTGGAAGATTAAATCAGAGATAAATTAGTAGTACTTACGTTGCAAAAAGCTTTGGCTTAAAACCTTATAGACAGTAGCAAAACGGGAAGACTCTGACAAGTGTAGTAAGCTTACTTTTAAAATCATGACAATGAGTGGTTAGAGCCATATGCAGTATGTTGAAACTAGATTTAGAGTAAACGAAAACTTATCTAGATTAAAAACGAAGAGATTAAAATGAATGGGAACAAAGACAACAATGATTATTAATTTAATAGTGACCAATTATTAATAACATTGACATTTAAAAAAGGTTGCAATGAAGGAAAAAACATGCTTCATCAATCAGACTTCTTGGATTTAATCCAAGAATGCAAGAGTTCTCTGCAGACCCTCTCCAAACATAGTATCACCATTCAAATCTTGGGTAAATTTAGAGTTGTGCATTGTTGAGGAGTAATTAAGTGTTTTGCACAAAATAGTACAGTTCTTTTTTTGCTTTACTAACATTTTCATACATTCATAATAATTTTTAGGAATGAAAAATGTATATTGCTTTACAGCTAAATAATACAGAAGTTATTTCATAAAGAATATTTTGATTGGGTTTAAAAGCAAAATGCTGTAGATCCTGGGAATCTGAAACAAACAGGAAATACCAGAGAAGCTCAGCAGGTCTGGCAACATCTGTGAAAACAGAAACAGAGTGAATGTTTCAAGTCCAATATGACATCTTCAGAACAGTTCTGAAGAAGTTATATCAATAAAAAAATGCCAGAAGTCTCTCCTTCCACAGATGTTACCGGACCCTGCTGACATGTTCTCTGTGTTTGTTATAATTATAGTTGTTTAAATAAGTTCTTGGAAACAGTTTGAAATGTTAAGACATCAATAATTAAAGACTTGATGAGTAAATCAAATAGTAGCTATGTGGTGGTGAAAGCTAATAAATACTGTTCCACCTGCACTGTCCTCCTCTTCTTTAAAACCATCATGAAGATCACAAAAATAGTTTGATTAGAAGTGAACAAACTAATCTTTGGACTATATAATTAATGGGTCAGCGAGCAAAACTACGTACAATTTGTCACAAATTGACATTCTCTCTTGGTGACCTGTGTGACTTACTGATGAGTAAAGCCATATACTTGGAGGCTAGAGTTGAAGAAAATTATTTGCAATGATCAGAGGAGCTTTAAGATGAATTTTAACTTCCCAAAAATCAGTGAGATCTCAAGTTTCTTTAAAAATGTCAAATTTGACCCATATCAAAGGTGACACTAACCTACCACCCCAATTCCAAGTTTACTGGAAGCAAACCAGTGAGTAAGCAACGAACCTGCTCTCAAGAAGTGTGTCAACCATTTAAGAGTCTCACATTTAATTTGCTTCATAGTGAACTGTGTTTTGCTAGGTTTGGGAAACACAGCAGCTGAAAGGAGGCAAGGCCAGCAGTGCCCCTAAGTTCTTGCTTTGGCCCCTCACCCTACTAAGTAGCCCCATCTCCTCCCATCTCCCTACCCCTTCATTACTAATCAGACCACTCACACCGCACTCCCAAACTATTATCTCTCCTCTGATCGGGAAATGCTGCCCATGTTAATTAGAGGGCATTTACTCTTCCTCTAACGGCACGAAGTATAATTTTGATAGTAATTAATGCTAACATTGGTTGAAAAATGTATAAAAGTAATTCCATAATGCTAATATCCCTCAGTTTACAGCAAAAGTATAGAAGAAGGTAACAATCCACATAACCATTGATTGACAGGAAAGTATGCATTTATATTCCTTTCTTCCATTAGAGACTTACAGGTCAGACCCAAACTAAATGTTTTGAAACATTGTTAAAGACTATTTATGAAACAGATGAACTAAATGAAAAGATGAAAAATGTGGAAATTTCACAACACATTCAGCATGCTGCAGAAATGAATGAGGTAAGAAGAATAAAATATTACGTAACGGAAATTGTTCACTAGACACTTTCCAACCTCAGAAACTATTCACCAACGTTAAAGGTCAATTAGAATACTGCAGCTTTCAACACTGCTGTTTCCATAACGCATGAGTGTTAGTAATGTAGACATAATAAAAGAAGTCACTACATTATGGAATCAGTTCAACACAATAATCGGTTACAGCACCAATAGCACATTGGAGAGAGAAAAAGGCATACCTGCAGATGCAGGAAGTAAGAGCGAAAATAAGAATATCTAATAGCAATGTAGCACAGGAACTCACTAGTTGATTCATTTCCCAATTTTTTTAATGCTATATTCCTTCTTCAGCTGGTACACCCTGGGATTCTGCACCCACGGCTCTCCATGACAAGGAGTTCCAAAGACTCACGACCCTCTGAAAGAAGAAATTCCTCCTCATCTCAGTCTTAAATTGGCACCGCTTTATTCTGAGCCTATTCCCTCTAGTCTTAGACTCTCCCTTCAGGGGAAACATTCTCTCAGCCTTAATCCCTTCAAGCCCCTTAAGAATCCCATATTTTTCAATGAGGTCACCTCTTATTCTTCTTAATTCCAATGAGTAGAATCCCAACCTGTTTAACCTTTGCTCATAAGGCAATCCCTTCAGACCAGGGATAATCCTAGTGAACTTTCTCTGAACTGTATTCAATGAAATAGTATATTTTCTTAAAAAGCTGCTCTCAGAACTCCAGATGTGGTCTCACCAATATCTTGTATAGTTGCAGTTAGACATTCATACTCTTATGTTCCAACCCCTTTGAAATAAGGTCCGACATTCCATTAGCCTTCCATGTTACCTGCTGCACCTGTGTGCTCGCTTTCTTTGGTTTGTGCATAAGTATCCCTAAGTCCCTTTATATTGCAGCTTTCTCAGTTACTGGATTCTCCCTTCAGCAGAAGCAGCCTTCTTGTATCTACTTTGTCTAGTTCTGAGATCCCCTCTCATTCTTCTGAACTGAATATAATCCTAACAAATCAACCTCTCCTCATGTGTCAGTCCTGCCATCACAGGAATTGGTCTGGTAGATCTTTGCTGCATTCCCCTTTATAGCAAGAACTTCCTTCTTAAGATAAGGAGACTAAAACTGCACGCAATATTCCAGGTGTGATCTCACCAAGGCTCCGTATAATTGCAGCAAAACATCCTTGCTCCTGTACTCAAATTCTGTCATTATAAGCCTAACATACTACTTGATTTCTTTACCATCTGCTGCGCCTGGGTACTTACCATCAGTGCACGAGGACATTCATACATTGCATGTATGTTAGACATTCCCCTCTCTTAATTAATAGCCAATTTGATAATAATCTATGTTCCTATTTTTGCAACTAAATTGGATAACTTCATATTAATCCAAATTATACTGCATCTGCCATGTACCAGAAGTGTCCTCAGAGTGGTCTGCAAACATATTGACTTATTAATTAGGAGCAAGAGTCAGCCATTCAGACCCTTCAGTCTGCTCCACCATTCAATAAGATCACGGCTGATCTGACTGTGTCCTCAAACCAACATTTCTGCCAAACCTGATAACATTGCTTAGAAGAATATATCTGCCTTTGTTTAACTAGATTAAAACACTCTGCTACCACCACCTTTTCAGGAAGAGAGTTCCAAAGACGCTCAAACTTTTGAGAAAAAAAAATGCCTTCTCTCAGTTTTAAATGGGTCACACCCAGCTCTTAAAAGGTGATCCCTAGTTCTAGATCCTCACATTTGAGGAAGCATCCTCTCCACATCTACTTTGTCAAATGTATCAGGATTTTATACATAAACTAATAATTTATATATGCTTGCATGTAGACCTCTGTTAATTATGGATGTTTGAATTTAAAGTAACCAGTAGCACAGCATTATGCTTTAAACAAGGTGAAAGGATAGCTTATTATGCAAATATTGTTTAAAGTTAAGTAAATAACAAATGCTAAAGAATTTAGCTAAATACAGATGTAAAGACTTAAGTAAGGAAAAATGTATAAAGATGAAAATGAGATCAGTCTCTACTATCATTTCAGGCCTGATTTGCTTAACAATTCTCTTCCTGCAGTGAAGAGGTTGAAACATGAAGCAAGATTTAGCAACTGCAAAGGCTTCTGCAACTGAATAGTTGGAATTGTCCATTGTAAGTGGAGTCAGTAGGTACAGCAGCTTCTAGCAATCATGTGAAGGTCACTTTTCCAGGTCGTGCAGGAATTATAGTTGAAAATTTTTCAGCAGATTAGGAAGAAGTGCTGGTCACCTTGCCCAGACTGCCCACTCTGGAATCAAACCTTTGTAACTCCTGTTATTAGAAAGAAAACCCAACACTCACGTGCCATTGACAGTTAATTTAGCCAAGAGTGGTCACGAGAACTGTCTGGACAAGTTTTCTTGAGATCAAAATGGACAAAATGGCTAACCAAAGCCAGGCTTCTACACCGTTCAAACTTAGGGCAACACAGTCACTCAGTGGTTAGCACTGCTGCCTCTGGGTTCAATTTCACCCTGGGGTGACTGTCTGTGTGGAGTTTACACATCCTCTCTGTGTCTGTGTGGGTTTCATCTGGGTGTTCCGGTTTCCTCCCACAGTCCAAACATGTGCAGGTTAAGTGGATTGGCCATGCTAAATTGCCCATAGTGTTCAGGGATGTGTAGATTAAGTGGGTCATAGGGTCATAGGGGCATGGGTCTGGGTGGGATGCTCTGAGAGTTGGTGTGGACTTGTTGGGCCGAAGGGCCTGTTTCCACATTGTAGGGATTCTATGATTCTAAAAATAGATGCTATCTAAATTGTTGAGTCCTGTTTCTATTTTAGAAATTGGGTCAGCCCAGGTCTGGATTGTCAACTTATCCATTATCTCTTAGTCAAGGTAAATATATTTTTAACAGTTGCAGCCTTTAATTTGAGTGGCTTTTTTTCTGTCAGGTTTTTAATGAGCTATGAAGAATAATATACATCTGCATAAAAAGCGTTGTCTATCAGTTTCTGTTTACCCTTGGAAATTTCAATTAAATTTCAAAAGGTCTCTTATGATTCTCCTTGAGATAAATACAATTTTGATCCAACTACAGTTAAACCCATAAGGGAAATCATATTGCTCTGCGAACAATTTTGTAAAACTCCTTCAGCTGAATCTTGGGGTTTTTTTTGGGTCAGCTGCATTGAATTTTTTGGAGGCTTCCTGACATGAAGCTTAGTGAAATTTCTTGTTGTATCTTGCTAAATGCACCTCAGTAACTACCTACCCTGCCCTATGCTATCCGTTATGTTTGATTCTATCCCCATCTATGCCATTCCAAGAACACCTCACCACTCACCAGATATCCGCCTATCTCAGTGCTCGAGCAACTCTGCATATTTCATGCATTTCTCGCTGAGCAGCAGCAAGGTACAAATTAAGCAGGATTATAACTTTTTAGCTGCCTGTTAATGCCTTAACCCACCTGAAAAGTAGCAAATGCAACCTGTTTGAGAAGGAAGGGAGAATAAAGAACTACACATCTGTTTGTTTGACATCAATAGTAAGAGAAATGTGCAAATCTATTTATAAGGATAAGATAACTGGGTAATTAGAACAGAATGTTAAAGTTGGATTGAGTTGAGTCCACATGGATGTATAAAAGGGAAATTGATTGACAAACTTATTGGAGACACTTGAAGATGTTACTTGTGGGATAGCTACACTATGTAGGATAGACAACTAGCTGCTGTCTTTATATTTTCCAAAGGTTTTTGTTAAGGTCCCACGCAGGAGGTCAATACACTAAATTAGAGTGCATGAACTTGGAGGGAGTATGTTAGTGTACATGAGAACTGGTTAACAGACAGAAAACAGACAGTAGGAATAAACAGGTCATTCTCAGAATGACAAGTGGGGTATTGCACTGATCAATGCTCGGGCGTCAACTGTTCGAAACCTTTACCGGTGATTTGGATGTGGGGACCAAATGTCATATTCCCAAATTTGCTAATGACACAAAGCTAAGTATGCATGTTTAAGGAAGAAGCAAGGATGCTTCAAGGGAGAGTGGACAGACCACATGAATGGGCTAGAACTTGACATATGGAAGTTAATGTGAATAAGTGTGAAGTTATCCTGCTTTCTAGATAAAACAGAAAGGCAGAGTATTTCTTAAACAGAGAGATTGGGAATTGCTGGTGCCTAAAGTGACCTGACTTTCCTTGTTCATGACATAATAAAAGCTAGTTTGATACAGCAAGCAAATACAAATCTAGACCTTACTTGCAGGATTTGATTATAAATATAGAGATGTGTTGCTGCATTTGTATGGATCCTTGGGTATTGAACACAGTTTTGGTCTTCTTATGAAAAAATAGATATATTTGCCATAGCAGGAATGCAATGGAAGCTCACCAAACTAATCCCACGGCTGGTGGTTTGCTTTTATGAGGAGAGCTCAAGGAAGAAGAGTCATATTCTCCAGAGTTTCGAAGATTGAGAGGTGGTCTCATTGAAGCTTAGGGAGCAGGATGAGTGTAGGTATGATGTTTCCTGGCTGGTGAGTCTAGAAGCAAGGGGCATAGTCTTAGAATAAAGGTTAGGCAATTTAAGATTTAGTTGAGGAGGAACTTTCACCCAGAAGGTGGTGAATCTTTGGAAATCTTTACCCCATACAACTGTGGAAGCTTAAATATTGAGCACGTTCAAGACAGAAATCAATGGGTTTCTGGAGACTAATGACAACAAGGAACATGAGGATAACACAGGAAAGAGGCATTGAAGTAGATAATCAGCTATATCCGATTGAATGACGGAGAAAACTCGGTGGGTTGAATGGCCTCTTCCTATTCCTATGTTTCTATGCACTCAGAAGTATGAGAACGTTAACTATCTTATTTTCATTTGTTTGAACCTTGGAACACTTATTGCAAACATGATTGAAATTTATATCATTCTTCAGTATGGAATTTCATAAAGTAGGTTGAAAATTAATTATGACAATGTTAATCAAACACATGTTCATGGAACAGTATGTAAAAAAAATTTTCAAAGCAAAATGACGTAAAATATTAGTTCAAGTCTTTCTGGAAGCCTTTTCTTCAAACCTGTCGATTAACTCAACCATGAATATTTTCACATGGGCTGTCACCTTTGTAAGTCTGTAATGCTTTATGGTATTTTCAGATTATTCCTACAGCAATGGTGGCATTAATGAGACACTGCTCTATATCTGAAGCAAAAGCTCGACTAGCTTCTTGCGCAATTGTACGAGATGTCATCAGCTCAATTGACATCCAAGAGAAAAAAATGGAGAGCAGATCACACAGAAACAACTGAAGAAGAAAGAGATGAATGAAAATTTGTTGCAGCAGCCTTTTGAGTATTGTTATGACATCTATGCATGAAAATTATAAAAATTACTGGCTCGAAAATTCCACAGGGACAGCATTCAGCAATCATACTAGTACTGCATCTATTATTAATTGCTACCATTGATCATGTCAGAGTAACAAACTCAATTATTGGTCTGGTAAAGACAGGGTCTTCAAACATCAGGCCCTGACCCTGGCCTTGACCCTTAGGTGGATTCTAACTTTCACTTGTTCTGTCAATTTATGCCTATGGTGAGGCCAGATATACATTCACCTATGCTTCTTTTGATGCCCAATTGAGGGAAGAGCTCCAAACTGGCTAAGCTGTCTTCACGTCATTGATCTTATTTGGGATGGATTGATTCCACCCTGAAATAAGACCACAAAATCTCCTTTGAAAATCTCAGGCCTCACCTAATTAGATCCATGTTTGAAATAAAACAGGAATCCACCAAAGTGGATGAACCATTTTGGAACCGTTGTTTTTATTCATTTTGCTATTGCAATGAATGAATAAATCTCTGAACTTAGTAATTGCACTGTGTGGTATCAAATGAATGCTTTTCTTCCTCATGTTTTTACTGAGATTGAAAATGGTTTAGAATTAACATTTATTGCAACTTTCAAAAATAATGTTTAATAGCGGAGGCAAAGACAGTTTTTTTAAAGTTTGACATTTAATTCATGACTGTACTAACAAAAAAAATGACATGTTAAGATCAGTTAAAATATTCTATCTTCTGATGGAGACAAGCTGAAGAAATGTTTTTTTTATTTTTATGTTTGACTGTTTTTTTCACATTAGTTAATCAATTTTCATCAAAAATCTGAAACACGAGAACAAAATATCCATTCGACATATCACACTGTCTGATGGTGGGATTTTGATTCATACCATTTGAGGGGGGGAGATTGGTTTATAAGACTAGATAAGGCAAGAAACATCAGAGTAAATGAGATATTTTATCATTGTGTAATTGTTGGTGTACTACATACACGACCACATTGTTACAAATAGGGTGAGAAAGAACTACTGAAATCCTTGTTCCCTTTCCAGCAGTGTGAGATCAATAAATTTTTGAGAGAAAAATTTGTATGGCTCTTTAATCTGTGGCTGCGTGCAGACAGTTTAATTAACCAGCAGTAGCTTTGCATGGGTTTAAACAAAAGAAATGTATATTTAAGCACTGACCTCAAACCTTCATGAGATATCACCCACTCACACAAGTACACATACCCAGTAAGAGTACAATGAAGAGAATAATTTACAAGCATTTACGAAAAGGGATAGTTTTATAATTCTGTTGACTGTCTTTTAAGAAAAAAAACGAGTTGAAGGCCTGAAGCGAAGATATCTTCACCCCTGAAGTGTACTTTGGCTGAATTCAACAGCCAAACTTATTTTAAGGATTCTCTCAAAGAGATAGACTTTCTGCAGGTGATGAACTGAGTTGCCTGTGGTCTTCATAACAGAAAGTCGTTACAATGTTACAGCCTCCACTTCTAAAGCATAGGTTATTGCTGTCTCTGTCCTACTTCTTTTTCTGCAGAAAGGATTTAAAAATTAAAAAGAGACAAACATGGCTTTCCTCCTATTGGTCTTCGCACAGCTTTTCCAAATGTGTTGGTAATTGTATCAGCTAATGGTTCTGGAAGTGTTAATGTATATGTTCCATTGACTGCTGATGTCATACTATCTATTGTTGGATCAAAGAATTAGATATTGCAAGGCCCCAGCTGATGGACAAAGGGCATTACCTCTCCCGAAGATGATATTGCCCCCTTTTACTACCCAGACTTACTTTAAAATACACACAAACCCCTTCATTCTTTTTGGTAAGGTGCCAAAACCCTTTTTGCCAAAAATCCCCTGACTCACCTCAGTTTAAAATCTATTAGATCTCCATGGGCATGTCTTCAGCCCTGACAGCACACACCATGGAGATCTATAACTACCGGCATTTCTGGAGCTGCCAGCCAATCAATTTAACATCCCACATTTTTTTGAATGCAAAACCAGAGTGAATTTTGGTGGCAATTTTTGCAGGAGCACATACTTCATTTTAAAAAGGGATGATTTATTTCAGATGTCAAATTGAATTAAATATGTACCTTAAAACATTTGACTATAACTTACCTTCACTGGGCATAACAATATTTGGAGTTATGTCTGCATGATATTTGAGAAGCTGTATTGATATGGATCTTCAAAATTGTTGCTCGAAGAATTACTGGGACGAGGTTGTCTAGGATGGTTTTTTACTAAAATTTTGATTTTGGACAAGTCACCTTTTAACTCACAAAGAAAAATTAGACAGAAAACCATCTTCTCATTTATCATTTAGTTTCAACTCATTTTAAATCACATTAGAAGGGAAGGATAGATGCCCCTGAAAGGGAACTGAACTCCTCAGTAATACCACTGACTGAGGGAGGAGGGAAAATGGTGCAAAGCTACGGAACCATTTACATAGTCTCTCAGGCAATCTCCCTATTTCCATATAAGCAGACTGCTTCCATCAGAAAGACTACTTTCCTGTACAGTCTAGGAAATGGGTTCATTCCCCATTTACAAGAAAATTAACTTCTGCTAAAACAGTAAAACTTTACGTTAGTACATGGAAGATTAAAATTTAATGAAAATATTCAGCATTTTCAGGCTGAAAACTGGCAGTTGGCCAATAAGATATTGTGACATTACTAGCAAGGATAGATAAAATGTTGATGCCTTGACATATCTCAGTCAGTTGCCAGGCTCAATTTGATACAGGGAATCAATCTTACCCATGATAATCCTGAAATAGAAGCCAATTGTTAGATATTTCAATAGTCATTTCATAATTATTGCCACATCAGGTACAAAAATTCAGAAAAGATACAAAGCTACTAATGCTGAACATGCTGTAGCATTTTACCTGCCTTACTTGATGCAGCTTTGGCTTCAGATCATTGGTATGCTGATAACATAAAAATAGTCATTTCTCCAGGGATTTCACTGAGCTCCCACAAAAGGTACAGCAAGAAATTAGGAGAGGTTCAGTGGAAATTTACACAAGGTATACTTAATGATAATGATACAACATCTCTTAAAGTCTTGGACAGTCCGAATTCACCTCTGAATGACCAGACAAAGCATATTAGCTTGGGATGTTGCATGCATTCAGGTTAACTGATGATGATGTTCTTTTTGAGATGCTGCAGCTGGTCATCATCTGATGTAGCTTGCTTGATCTGTTCTGCTTGGCTGTGACCAAAAGAAATTATATTGTTAAGACTATCTACCAGTGCAGATTCAATAATATCCATTTGTAGGTCTAAAGGAATAACTTTGTTTGGTGGGGATTGGACATTAGTTAAAAGCATATGAAATTTGTTTTGGGGAGCCTGATTTGTATTGTATTTCTAAATTGTACTCTTGATGCTTCGCAAATAGACATTGTAATCATGAAGGTACTCTTGTGAGAGAGTTTAACAGATCATTTATAACCATTTGTAGATGATATGAGAAGTGAAGTGTTTGCCATTTAGGTGTACATGAAATCATTGTATCACGAGATCTAAAACACAAGTCTGTTTTTCAGTATTGGAGTAGTTAGTCTGAGCTATTGTCAAGACCTCAATACCAAACATACTAAGGCTTGCCATTCATCATAGTCACACTTTGAGGCCTTTCTGGGATGCATCTGCTTCAAATGAGGGTGGACTTTGAGGAATCATAATATTGAAGTACATACTGACCAGGTGATGGAGTATTTCTGAGAGATTGAAAAATATTCTGGTGATCTTCCTGACATATGAATGGAGTGATTTTAGAGAAAAGCCCTTGAAAAAGAAATGATTTGGTCACAAAATTCAGAACATATGAGGATAAAAAGATATAGAAACTGAAATTCCTTTGTAAGTCACCATTGTCTTGTAGTGTAGGCTTCTTTTCTACATCATATGTTTTGATAAGATCAGATCTAAAACCATTTGATGAGTGCTTTGAACCAAACCAATAGATTTTGTGCATGTTGATTTACTATTTTTTATAATTGAAAAAAAGATTATGTTTCCTTGCTGCTGTTATGAGTTGGTGGAGGTTTTTGTAATGCTCATGTTTAGTTCTTCCAAGAATTACAATGTCGTTGTGACACAGAGATAACCTGATACATTCTCAACCAGAAGATCCATGTGTTGTTGAAATATGTCCTGGCTCATGGATAATCCAAATGATAACCTGTAAAAATGATATTTACCAAAAGGTATTACAAAAGTTGTCAGTTCTTGTGACTCCAGGATAAGCTTTATGACCAAATATGTATTCTTGGCATTGAGTATGGAAAAAGTCTGGCATCCAAGAGCTTGGGATTAAGCTCTTCCAGGATAGAAATCTTGTATAGACATCTCTTTAGCATAGTTCAATTGCCTCAGATCCAAAATATAAAGGCTGATCACATGATCATATTTTCAGAAGTTTCTGAAACCCTTGTGTTGTATAAAAATTTCAATAAAACCTGACATAAAAGACTTGGAGACAAGTCATCTGCTTAAAGTCAGTCTGCTTAAGTACAGCCATGATTATAACAAGGTCAGCCAGGTGCACCGCATAAAATATGAGTTCCCTGATTGGGGCTGTTAATCCAGTACAATCAGGGAGCCCTGGCTGACATAAATAGGTTGAATGTCAGGGATACTGATTCCCTGGTGCCTGACTCTGTTTGTTGCAGAACTATAGTCCAGGACTGTTCATGTATAAATAAAGGATGACTTGGTAATGGGATACCAGCCTCTGTAAAGTTAATTCAGCCAGTTGTGGACAAAAGAAAACCATGATTCTTTCTGCTACTTTGATTTAATCACAGACCACACCACCCTCACACAGTTTTCATGCTTCCCATTGTCTACCCTCCACCATTCCCCTGCCCTATCCAACTGATTCTATGGTTCTATGAGAACTGCCCACACACACACACAAACACACACTAATCAGGGATTCACTTCCCTAAATTATCATCTGTCAGCCCAATCCTGCTGTGATCCTGGTTGTACCTTGTGATCCTGTCTACTGCTGAATGCTTCCTCGGTGTCCTTAGTGCAATAATGGCAATCACCACCACTCCCAGTCGTCACTACGGAACTGCCAGTCTCTGTTCTTCTGCCAGCTCCAGGAGGCAGGACTTCCTCCTGGATGGGGTTGAAATTACTTCTCATAATAATTAAAGGCCCATTGGACGTAAAATGAAAGTTCAGCAAGTCGGCCAAGTGCAGGCAGACCTGACCACATAATTTACATTGGGTGTGGGAAGTCTAACTTAGCTCATAATCCAGATCATGGACACACTGGTTTAATGTAAAGTGAAGGTGTTATGACTACTAAAATCTCTCAAATTACAGTATCCCTGTTTCTGTAATAGGACACCACCTGCAAGACCATTAAATGAAAACCATTATACATAAGCTGGGATTAATTAGAGGCTTTGATTGTTATATATGCCATCTATAAGATCTTTCACTTTAAAGAAGTTTGCTACCTAAGTTTCC